TAATGGTAAATGGTCAAGAAATTATTCAGAAGTCATTGAATGATAACTCACTCCAGTTTAGACCCAGTAAAGGAAGAAAAACAAAGCAGGGAAATATCTTTTTTGTTTGAGATGTTGACATATGAGGAATTGAGCAGATTTTCTCAAGAGGAAGATTTTGTCATCCCATGACTTTGCAAGTCAAACGAGGCCAGATTTTTCTCATTGGGGGTGGGGGTAGGGAAATGTCAACTTTGAACATCCAGAGAATATATGGTACTCATCTACTGTGACTAATGTTGAAACTAGTGATGTTGAAAAGTGACACAGGCAACATAGATAAGACTATAACCACTACTGAAAAGATCAAGTAACACAAAGGCAGTACCAGGTATTTACAGTGAAAAGAAAAGGCATTAGACAGGAAGTAGGAAAAATTAGTGATTCATGGAAATTCCCACATCAGAGCTCCCATCGCCATTACAGTTATCCGACTTGTGCTGCGGTGTAGGTGACGTGACCCATTTGTACTGAGCTGTAGGCGAAACGAGTCCAGCAATATGCCTATAGGTAGACGGGGTAGGAGGAGACCTTGGAGATAGGTTCACAAACTCCAGTGCCTGCATCCTCACTTCCGCTGGGTAGTCAGCAACACATCCAATTCTTGGGCCAGCACCTGTTGTCCACTTGAGAGAGAGCTGGTGGCCTAACTGATATGATTGTGCTGCTTTCTTGGAGCTGATTCTTTGCAGTACAGCAGTTTTAGGCACCTCAATTCTTGGACTTTGAAGACCGCCAGATAATGTCCTCTGGTAATTGGCTTTGGCCTCTTTTTGGTCAACTTCAGATGATTCCACAGACAAGTTCTTCTCCTCTTCTTCGGAGGTCTTAGGTTCAGCAGAGTCTGGTTTTGTGGAAACATTGACTGTATTCTCAATGCCATTGTATTTTCCATCATCGTAGCTATCAGATTCTTCGTTGGCCTTATTTACCTGAAACAAGAATATCGAGTATAATGAGAAATTTCTGTGCTCAAACTGCTACAAGGGAATATTTAAACCACAAACATGAATACCCAACACTCAATCATATCCATTTTTTACTATCATTGCATCTCGGTTTTCAAGTAGAACCGGCACCAATGAATACTGTCAGCTTTGAGCAGATCTACGAAAAAACAGTTTTGGGACTAAGAAAGTACCAACTGGAGTATATTTTCCATCCTGCCAAGAAATATTTGATTTGGTGGGATAATGTTGAATGAACGCTTACCTGAACTTGATTAAGATTCACCCCGTTTTCCTTGAGGAAAGATAAAAAGGTGCTAAGGCTTTCATCTGTTGGCCGGTAATGCCCACTATATGCAGAGATGGTCTAAAAAGCCAATAAGCATGCAATTGATAAGTACTTAAAACTGCTAATGGTGAAAACAGGGAGGTAGTCTACATGCTTGTAAGTGAGTAGTCATATGGAATTTCAACATTTCCACATGGCTAAATTTTCTACGAACGTACCTTGAGAGTCCCATTTTCAGCCTCTAGCCGTCCAGCTGCTAATGTTGCCCCCCCAGCCAAAAAGCTGGAATGATGGAACCTTCCTTTCTTTTTCTGGAAGGGGAGAGACGGGTATTAGATTTTATACACTAACGAAACAGTAAAAAGAGTTTAAAACATAAAAAACTACAATCTGCTTGTTCAAATGCTTACCAGACCCGCATAGAGTTTCTTAAAAGTGCTCATAACGAATATCCACTTGGTCCCTTGAGATCCACTTTTCGTGTCTAGGAAAGTTCCAGTTAGTTTGTGAATAATCTTTCCTTCCACAACGACAAACTCATATTCTTCCCTCTCTTGCTGATTGTGACAATAGCAAGCATCAAGAAATAAGAGAAGATTAGTTCATCAAACAAAAATTAACTACTGAAAATTACAGAAAGAAAAAAAAACGAATTATACCATGAGTTCTTTTCATTGCAAAACAAACTTCTAATAACACACCCATAAAGCCGTAAAACCAATAGCAGCCGAGACTTAATTTCCCTTTAAATTAATTGGACTATGATAACATGGGAAATACATACAGGACCAAGGTATATAATGCATTGTTGCCGAAGTTTTTCTCTTGGGCATTCTTTAAGGTCAAGCTCCTTGCCATCTCCAATGTCTAACCTGCAGAACACATAAATAACAGAACATTTCAACTCCTGCTTTAAACCCTCAACATTTCAAAACACAGTTCTGCATTACAGTAATGGGACCTTAAAGAATGACATAAAAATTATTCCTGCCAGAAATTTCTCCACTTCAACCAGTTTTGCTTCCATTTACTCTGTTTCTTTTTATTGGCCGTTTGTTTGGGATATCCACTGAGCTTCTAATTAAGTTAAGCACCAGATCAGACAAACACAATAACATTTCTTGTCAATCTAACTTAAAATCCAGCTACTAGTCATCAGCTAGGATTCCAAACGATAAAAAGCTGCATGAAAGCAGCCCAAACAAACAGTACTCAGCCATTTAATTCTTTCTCAATGCTACGCAGATCAACCAATTAAATCTCAACAGTAGGTGATTTCCATGTAATCATCAAAATGAAGGATGAGAATAAAGCTCACCAGTAGAAAAATGGCTGACCGGAGTCAACTTTACACCATTCTTCATAGTACAAATGTAAGCTATGTCCATATCGATGTCGCGGATCAATCTTGAAACCAAATTAATAGACATGTTACCAGGATTTCAACTAAAAATTTTAATTAAAAGACTAAAGAAAATTAAGAAGTATTCAAGTGAAGAGAGTTTAATAGTTACTGCTTCAATCCAATGCTGAAAAGCCAACTTCTGTGCTTTGCCTTCTTTAGACAAACCTTTGCCAACCTATCCAAACAAGACCCAGATCTTCCACAACATTAGTACTAATCAAACAATAATAATTGCTGTTCTGTCCAGATTTTTCTGGAGAATAACCCAATAAGATAGAGCTCATAAATATTAAATATAATCACTACGATTTCAACCCTTAGATATAAATTATTAGAAAATAACAATGTTTAAACATTTATAATCTAACGACTTAAAACTAGTGCTTAACACTAACAGTTTATAATTAATTAAAGTTAAATCCCATTAACAGTGACCAGCGAAAGAACTAATAAAATAAATTACCTAGATCTTTGAAAAGAAAAAGGAAGTTGAAGAAAAAGCTAAGCTATACCTTGGAAGCATTCAAGCTGATACGACTCCACCTAGAGGCCGCGGTCTCAGGTTTCGCGAAATTGAAAAACGATATCGTGCTGTGGTTCAATCTTGCATAATCTATAGCTTGCCACCTTAAAAAAACACCATTATCTTAATTAATTAACTCTAATACACTTTTTCATTATAATTAAAAATAAGTGAAAGAACGAGAGAGAGAGAGAGAGAGAGTACAGAGATTTGATGCACCCACCACATTTCTTCGGCGACGACTGCGGAGTCCGCTAACCTACGGCGGGTACGGTAACTCCTGTAGACCTTCTGCAGCTTCACAGCCGCAGTACTCAACCCGTTTAACGCGCCACCAGGCGCGTCTTCCCCACTCAACTTCCCGACCGTCACAGTTTCTTCGCCAGTGCCGCCGCCTTTAGTACCATCACCG